GGACTCATTTTTATTCTGCAATCCTTCTGCGGACACAGAGCCTTTCTGAGGCAGTGGAGAGTAAACAGCAGTGTGTGTGTGTGTGAGAGAGAGAGAGGGGGGGGGGATTAGGTTTATATTACTTTATGGGGACACACAACGTAATAAAAACCTGTTTTTTGATGTTGTGGGGACATTCTTTTGGGTCCCCATAAAGATCTTTGGATGTAAAAGAAATAAAAAAAGTCTCGTATTTTGTTAGATTACTTATAGTTATAAGGTTAGGGCTGGGTAGGGGTTAAGGTCGTCATGTTTTCCCCATAGAAATGAATGGAGAGTCCCTACAAAGATATAATTACAAACCTGAGTGTGTATGTGTGTGTGTGTGTGTGTGTGTGTGTGTGTGTGTGTCTATTTTTGTAGTCTTGTCACTGAGATGTAATTATGTTGCTATCCAATGAATTACAGATTAAATGGAATTTAGTCATGATGTTTGCAGTGTCTGGGCCACAACAAATTTTCCTGAGAAGCACTGGGTGTTAGACTGATTTTTTAGCTCCTTTGAGTGATTATAAGGAGCTGACCATGAATGTTTACCAATTTCAGTGCTGACTGCTCCACAGTAACAATATACTTCATGCAACCTGGATAACACAGAAGGCTGAATTCTGTTCCATTAATTTGATCTTTAATTTGTCCACTTCATCCATCTTCTAATTCACTTATCCTGCTCAGGGTCTTGGAAGAGCCTGTCCTGGGTTGCACGGAGCTCAAGGCTGGGGCTGGGGATGCTGGACCCTGCTCGTTATTTGGATTTCCCTCTGGTTTGCCCCAATAAAGGACTGTTGGACCCATCCCTAGAGTTCTGTCGTGACACCATATATACACACACACTCATAAATCACTGGCAAATTAGAGACACCAGGTAGCCTAACTGCAAGACTTTGGGCTACAGGAGGAAACTCACACAATGCTGAGAAGGCATGCGAGCTCCACACGCACAAAGCAGAAGCCAGACTCAGAACTCAGAATTCATTTCACTGCAGATTGCACATCCCTTATGCAGAAGAGCTGTTCTTGCTCTCCACAAAGTTTTGGTCACCAGCATGTAAAAGCTGCCCATATTAAAACCTGAATGAGCTCTTAAATGGGAGCATTCATGTTAAAGTTCTCTGACATTTACATTTGTAGCATTTACGCGCTTGTCTGACGTTCTTCAGTGCTATACATCTTATTTCCAGTGTTCTGTTGCAGTGTGGTGGCTCAGTGGGCAGCACTGTAATCTCATGCATGCAGGCCTGGGGGTTTAGATCCCACCTCCAGCTGTGTGTAGTTTCCATATCGCCCCCATGTTTGCGCTGGTCTCCTCCCTCAGTTCAGAAACAGGCAGGTAGGGCAGTATGAGCGATTAGATTAGATTAGATTAGATTATATTAGATTAGATTAGACTTTATTAATCCCACAATGGGGAAATTCTTTGAGAAACAGCAGCAATAATGAAAAAAGACAGTACAAAAAAAGGACAGGATCCATAGGATCAGCAAAAAAATAACAATACAGATAATAAAAACAATAGAAAAACAATTTCTAAAACTGTAAAAATATATAAGTAAAAATGTAAGAAAAAAAGAAACATATACACAATGCTAGGTATATGGATAGCAGCTGCTGAAATATATATATACTGTATATATATATATATATATACATACATACATATATACACACACACACATATACATATATATACACACATGTACATATACAGGGATTATATATACTGATTATGTGGTCACTGCAGTGATGTGTTGTAAAGTCTAATAGCTGTGGGGAGGAATGATCGACGGAAGCGCTCCTTCTTGCACTGAGGGTGTAACAGTCTTGTGCTGAAGGAGCTGCTCAGAGCCTCCACAGTGTGGTGCAGGGGGTGGGAGGGGTCATCCATAATGGATGACAGTTTTAATAGCATCCTTCTGTCCGCCACCTCCTCGATGGTGTCCAGTGTGCAGCCCAGGACAGAGCCAGCTTTCTTAACAAGCTTGTTAAGTTTTTTCCTGTCTCTGTCCGAGCTGCTCCCTGCCCAGCACACAACAGCGTAGAGAACTACTGAGGCCACTACCGTGTCATTAGCTTCCCTGTAGTCCGTGGCATTGCCATAGAGGGCGACTTGCTCTCTGCGTTTCCTGAGATTAGGTCTAACTCCAGACTTGTCATGGCCCAGTGGATCTGCTCTGGATGGTATTGTATCAATGTATTGTACCAATGAAAAACTGAATGGCAGCAAAGCACTGAGACACATCACTGTGGGCTCTGACCTGCTGATTCTGTGCAGTTTTCTTCCCCGGCTGGTAGTTTAATTAGATGATGACATGGTGTACAAGCATATGCTGATATTTCTGCAGTTTGCTGTCAGTCTCCAGTTGGCATGGATGCCAGCCAGTGGCAGACTGTTCCAGTTTCGCAGAATTTACATTACTGGAGTAAGAGTGCAGTATGGACTCTCCTACAGTGAATGCCTCTTTCAGTAGAGTTTTCACTTACAGTTTTTCATTATTTTGTAGCATTTTGAAGCGTTTTGTAGCAGTGATGTCCGGATATGATAACTATGATCGGAATTAAGGCCCATTCAAGTATTTTCTAGTTGATCAGTATCAACTACCAAAGCCTGATTGGCCATCTTAAGGAAAAATATCGCAAAATCGTCAGGCTTACTCAGACGACGAATGCACCACATGTATGTTTATGTATATTTAAATATTCATTAAAAGATCAGATCGGGACTTGGAATCAGCAGATTTAAATATTGAATGGATAGGATTGGGATGGCAAAAAATGGTGCTGCTTTTTCTGAGCGTGATCACAGGTGGGGGGGGGGGGCCTGGAGGGGGGCACTCATCTCAAGGCACAAGGTTAGGGTACACCCTGGATGGGGTGCCAATCAGTAATAGGGCACTAGTATCACTCACTTTATGGGCAATGCCAACTTGCCTAAGTACATGTGTTTGGACTGTAGCAGAGTAACCGAGGAGACCAGCACACTCAGGGAGAAGGTGCAAGTTACACACACACACACACACACACACACACACACACACATACACACACACACAGAGAGCAGGGGCCCAACACTGACAGTCTGCAGTAACAGTACTACCAGTTATGCAACATCTCCCCATATTTCAGATCCAGCTGGGTCAGGGTAGCATGAAGGGCTTGTTTTTATTGATTGTTTTTATTATTATTTAAATATTTTTATTACTCATGCCTCACATTGAGTCGATTGCATTTCAATTTCGTTCTTCAAGTGACAATGACAATAAAGAGTTATCTTATCTCGTCTTATCTTATCTCATCTTATCTTATCTCATCTTATCTTATCTCATCTTATCTTATCTTTTCTTACCTTATCTGTCTTGCTCTCTGCTGGCGTTAGTTGTCTCGCAGAGAGGTCAGAGTTGGCCGACAGTGTTCCTGTGACCCAGCATGAGGAATGTCCTTTAATGGGCTTGTTTTCCAGCAGGGTTGTTAAACATGGACTTGGATGCCATGAAGGAGGTCTGAAGGAGGCGAGGTCAGCGTGGCACTTTTATGGCTGCTCAGTACTGCAGGGAGGGTTTTTACAATCTGTGTGTGTGTGTGTGTGTGTGTGCGTGTGTGTGTGTGTGTGTGTGGTGGGTGGGTGTCTTCGGTCCCCACAAGGGAAAACTGGGCTAAGGTTGTCATTGTTTAGATTAGGGTTTGGATTATGACTCTGTGTGTGTGTGTGTGTGTGTGTGTGTTCAGATGCAGACTCATTGTTTGCCTGTTTAATATGCACTGTGAAGCTGCATCACCATCCCTATTCACAGCCAGGTCTTCGTAACCTTAACTAGTCTTCCTAACCCCAAGGAGTCTTCCTGCCTAATCACAGGGCCGGATGAGGCAGGGACACAGCAGAATCTGGGAGAGGAGTAACAGCTGACTCTCAGAAATCCGGACGTCCTCATCATTCAGGCGGGGCGGTCAAAGCAGTTCTACTGTACACTTCACTTAAGGATCCTGGGAGACTTTATGAGCAGATATCTTGAGTCATCACACTACCTGTCTGCCTTTGAGCTGAGTCACAATGGAAGACATCGACTGGTGCTCCCTCCAAAGCTGCCCCCCCAGCCTGTGGGGATGAGTACACAAACTTTAATAAAACACACAGTGCTTAGGGACAAGACACCTAAATTAAACCATTTTTAAAATATTTGTCGGCCAGCTAAGGCCATTTGTATTTTTTTTACTGAATATTTCTCTCAGGCCGCAAAAACACGTATTTCAAATATATTTGAAATGTGTTTGTACTGTTATTCTTACTTTTTTCATCTTAATTGCTGTTTCACTCTGTCACTGAAAGCGGTGACAGTCTAGTGTCATTGGGAGGATCCTCGTTAAGACGCTGGCTGCTCTGCGATTGGTCTGCAGTCAGCGTTTAATTGCTGTGTCACACAGACCATCTGCTCTATTTTTAGTCCTGTGACTCATCCCCCCCCCATCCAAACCCAGGGGTCTCAGTTGTAAAACTTTAACTACCAGCACAAGCGAGTGCATTGTAAATCATGCCTGGCTTTGGGAAGACAAGCTTTAGCTACAGCTTGCAGTTTGCACCACATAGGAATCTATTCTGCTTTTGTCTGAGATTCTCCGTGGTGCGCAGCGGCTTTTCAGTCACCAGCAGAGCCTCACACCTTCAGGGCTGTGCCTGCCTTTCATTCCTGCCCTCTGCTCTGGCTGTGTGCAGTTTGTGTATTCGGCCCATATTTGCTGATGTTTTCTCCTGCGGTCCAAAACTGTGCAATTTGATAGACTGGTGCCTCTACATTTCCCATAATGCTTGATTGAATGTGAACATCCTGTCCGGTGTAGCCTGTACTTCCTGGCTAAGGTCTAACACTCACCCTATTCTAGCTGAGTATGGGTATCTGGCTGAGTATGGGTATCTGAAGTAGTGGGATGACATGGCATCCAAGTCCGTGTTTAACTACTTAGTTGGAAAACAAGGTACAGTAATTAAAGGGTATTTTTCATACTGGGGTATTATTGGTCACCTGCAAGCTTCCTGTAGGACTGCTGCCAAAAACAACCAAAAATTGAGGAGCCAGGCAAAGTGCTCTTACATACCTGGGTGCTGTGGCTGTTCAGTACTGTTGCCTCACATAGGTCTGGGAGTATGATGGAGCATGGGGTTTTGGGAGTATGACCAAGCGTGGGGTTTGAGAGTATGATGGAACGTGGGGTCTAGGAGTATGATGGAGCATGGGGTTTGGGAGTATGACAGAGTGTGGGGTTTCAGAGTATGATGGAGCGTGGGGTTTGAGAGTATGATGGAACGTGGGGTCTGGGAGTATGATGGAGCATGGGGTTTGGGAGTATGACAGAGTGTGGGGTTTCAGAGTATGATGGAGCGTGGGGTCTGGGAGTATGATGGAGTATGTTGTCAGGGAGTATGGTTGAGCGTGGGGTCTGGTAGTTTGATGGAGCGTGGGGTCAGGGAGTATGATGGAGTGTGGGGTCTGGGAGTATGATGGAGCATGTCATCAGGGAGTATGGTGGAGCGTGGGTTCTGGGAGTATGATGGAGCGTGGGGTCAGGGAGTATGGTGGAACGTGGAGTCTGGGAGTATGATGAAGCATATGGTCTGGGACTATGAGGGAGCATGCATGTCTTCCCCATGTTGCATGGGTTACCTTGACATACCAGTCCAAAGACATACAGTTAGACTAACTGGTATCTCTAAATCACCCACAGTGTGTGGTTATGTGTGCGCGTGTATGTGCCCTGCTATGGACCGGCATACTCTCTGGTGTGTACCCCAGCCGTGTCCTCTGTGTTGCCTGGAATAGACTCTAGGGCTGTGCCTTATAAACCCTGAATGGGATAAGTGGCTGGAAGTTGGATGGTTGAATGTTGAGACCCTTAAATATATAACTATAAACATGACATTGGTATGTTCCCAGACTGCCAAACAACAGCTGTATACTTACAAACAGTGCACTGAATTACAGCAAGGTCGATATTCTCTAGCACCAACTTCTTTTTGCTGTGGTATAAGTCCACAGGTTCCAAGCAGAGAAGCCAGACCCTTTTGGTGTCAGCTGGGACAGACTCTCTGATGCAATACTCCCCAGTGACTGGGACACATCAAGGGTATGGCACCCGTATCCATGGAAACTGTATACCTAGTAACAGCACATTTGCAAAAAAAAAAAAATCACTGGTGCCCTCCTAAAATTTTATCGCTGCTGTTCCATTTAACGCATGTTCACAAACCATCAGCTTAATATCAAAGTCATGTAGTCATAAATTGTAAGCAGCATTTTACACTCATATGCAACTTAATTCGACACATCTAGCTTGTATCCAGTAGAAGCCACTTTTGCTTCCAGATTGCTTCAGCAGTATGTAAGTTCCATTCAGAGAAGCCGTTCGGTTCTGTTGCCCTGAGCTGTTATTTTGGCTCCTACTACCTTCCCGTTGGAAGTGGGTCTGGCTCATTCTCCACTGATGTCTTTCATTAAGAAGGAGTTTTTGCTCCCAGAAATAGAGCAGACTAGACGTTTTTTATTTATTGCACCATTTTCTGTAAACACTAGCCCCTGCAGTCTGTGAAAATCCCGAGAAGATATCAGTATCTGAGATGAAGGAGCCAACACATCGGGCAGCAACAATCACACCGTGTCCAGAATCATTTAGATCACACATCTTAGCCGTTGTAATGCTGTGCCAAACAGTAAGTGAACCTCGTGACCCTGTCTGCTTGCTGTACTGTATGTATTTGTAGCCACAGGCTTTGCTATTTGCAGCATCAGGCTGTTTTCATCATCAAGCATTTGTACCTAATACATTGGCCATGGAGTATATATTAACAGGTGTTATTTGGTACAAGGGTTTCTGATGTCTTCTTACATCTTTGTAGTATTCTTAACCCTTTCATGCATAAATAATCAATGTGTTATGGAACAGTCTAAGTTTGTGGACACCGTGTATCAAAGAAGAAGAGATAATCAGTGATGAAATATACTTACCATGTGTTTTAAGTATGTTTAGTTAATGCATTATTATATTTTGCTTTGGCATTATTATTGTCATTATTGGTGACAGCAATACTTGGTCAGTGTTTTTATATGCCATATGGGATTCTACTCGAGTTGTTATCAACATCTTATATCTAACAAACGTAGCTTCAAATCAACTGCCCAGGACTGTGTACACCATGCACGAGTTAAAATGGCCTTCTCCAATGAGGACACAGCACAAGGGTCACCGTGTAACGCAATTCACCACGTTTCTCAACCTGCATTGAAACAGACAGCATGATGAGCAGCCCATGGGTCACTGGAGATCGCCCCTCCGCATAGGGAAGGATGATTGGCTTGTCCTGAATCCATCCACGAATCAGCAGAACCGGCATTCACTTTAATGCCGAATCAGCATCTTCGTAAGGACACACAATGGGAGGGGAGCAAAGATCTCATGCTTGTGTTTTTTATGTCTTCATTGATGCATCTTAAAGTAAAATAGTGTGAGCACATTAGGGAGAGGGCACAGCCCCCCCAGAGCTGTTAATAAGTCCCAGGGGACATTAAGACCTATTCATCGCACCGCAAAAGCACGCATCTGCCCACTGCCTAAGTCCCTGTCAGTTTGTTTGGTGTTAAAAATTGGCCATGTGTATTTATCCTTAAAAAGGTTCATCATATTGTCAGAAGGTGGGTCTTGTCATGCCTTCAACTGTCTGGCACTTCTGCTGCTTTTCACATAAATTTCATAACTCAGCTGGTAATATGTTACAATAAGTCCACCAATGGCGAGTGACTCAGCTGTGAAGTCTGCTATTTAATTGGATGAAATTTCCTTCCATCTCCTCTAGGACACAGAATATCAGTATCAGCATTTATTTTGGCTTAAAACGATAGAATTTTTTTTAAAAATCACTTCCTTTGATGTCAAGAAAGATACATTTTTTTATGATGTTCACCAAGCAGCCCCAGTACTGAGCATATATTTATGCAGCAGAAGTCATTGTCAAGGCTGCCCTGTGTAACAGTTACAGAAATAATATGTCCTGGGTCAATCTGCTGCCTTTTAAAATAAGAATCCAAAAATAGTGTAGACGGGGGTGTTTATTTTTATATATGTGTGATATGTGCCACGCTCTGCTTGCCCAATCACCTCGTGTGCCACGCTCCCCTCATTCACCAGCTATTTCCTGTTGCCGTCATTAATCCAATGTATTTAGTCCGCGTTTCAGTTTGTTTCCCCAGTCCGGTCATTGTATTGTCCGTCTGCGTTTTGCCTGCCCTGTTTATAATTAAACCCCCCATTTCCCGTCTCTGCTCGTGCTTCCCTGGTGTTATGCATGACATATGTAGGTTATATAATTTGATGCAGTTGTTTCTGAGGGTGATATATGTTTAAATATACAGATGATAATGATATATAGACATACATTTCTGAAATCGCTGTATTTCATTTGCCATGGAAACCATTTTTGTAAGACTTTTTGCCCCTTAATCCATTTTGGTGAGATTATACAAGCTGCCACAACAATTTTTGTTATAGTATGTTCTAATTTTAATGTGCACCAAAAACACGCATATATGCACACGCAACAACATGCACGCGACTGTGCGCTCATGAACACTACATACACACAAGGCATTTTGGCAGTGTAATTATAATGGAGTTTATGGCTCATGCCAGGAAAAATGTTAGACCATGAAGGATATGCTGCAGTTATTGGAAATCAGTGTGTAGTATTTCAAACACTGAAGTGTCTTAGGCTATTTGATCATGATACAGACTGAAAGAGATTTGCCAATGACAGAGTCACAAAGTACTGTAGTACTGTGAGCATAACATTGCGAGAAACTATTCTGACATTCTAGAATGTTATTGGGGAACACTACCCAATCAGTGGATGTAGGATGTGCTCATATTGGTTATACTTTGACTCTTAAACGCTCTGTTAAATTTACTACTAGGGTTGGATATAAGTTCACCTGCTGCTCCAGGTGTGAAATCCAGCAGACAGAGGGATCCTCAGTGGAAAAGGCTTTCCCATTGCTTTAGTATACAATTTCGAAAGAGAGCATTGTAGATTATACAGAGAATATATTGATAAATACACTTCTATAGTGTAGTGTAGTATATTATAGTATAGTGTATTACAGTATAGTATAGAGTATATACAGAGTATTAAAGTATTGCACATGACACAGTGTAATATATTGTTGTAGCACTTCAGTCTAGTCTAGGCAGCATGAGGGAGTATAGTAGTATTGCGTGATTGTGGAGCGCACTAGCAGAATGAGAGGGACTCAGTTTGTCTGTGTGCTGGGTTTGACGTTAACAGCCTCATTCTTCTCGACTTTCTTTGTGGAATCGACAGTCTCCTTGGCCGTCTCTTCAGTGTCCACAGCCTGGGCGACGCCCTTCGAGCGACTGGCCCGTTGTCTCTCCTTGATGGCGCTGCTGTGCACGTGGGTCTGGTAGGTGTAGGTCATGCCGGCCCCCATGCTGGGCAAAGCTGGGCTGGTGCTGAAGCGAGTTTCCTCCCCTTCCAACAGTTTCCTTGCAGGGGAAGAGAAAGGCTGATGGAAGGTCTCCCTCCACAATGCAGCAACACGACCGACTCTGGCATAAAGTTGCCATGTTTACTCTACCTTAGAAGAATTTCCCCATGAAGATCAATGAAAGGTACCTATTATTATTATTAAGTATCCATCTTTACAGGGCTGGACCGGGATAAGAATTCAGCCCTGGACTTTGGGGTCCTCAACAGCTCCATGGTAAAATCTCAGGAAGTCAGGAAGGGGATCCAAATGGCAGATGGCCAGTCCAATCCTGCACCTATATGATCCTCTTTTAATCAGTAAAACAATCACTAAGCTAAGGATAATGGGCATAGGTTTGATATGGACCCCCCCCCCCCAACACTAACTATACTCCCACAGTATTAGTAATGCTGTACCCCTGTCATTCATACTCAAATCTACACCCTGCATGTGACATTAGTGAGGGGGCAGCCTCCCTGCAGCCATGTCACAATCACGGACTGGTTAGCTTCCACGTGAGTGTGCACCTCACTCACCCCTCTGCACCCTTGTAAACCCATGTATGTAATCTGTTATAATTCATCAATTATGAAGTCCAGAAAACAGAATCAAAATATTAAATAGGAATAGGAATAGCTAAAAATTCACCAGATTCTAGGATACTTTCACTTTCATTTTTAAATCAAACAAAATATGAGCAGTTAATGTATGTTTTAGAGTTTTTTGCCGTTTAGAAAACCATGCCTTCACTTTCCTACAGGGTCCCAGGGACAGATTACCGGTATGCTGCGATCTCAATGTCCAGGGCCATCTTGACGTTCAGCAGGTCCTGGTATTCTCTCAGGTGGTGTGCCATCTCACTCTTCGTGTTCCTCAGTTCATTATCCAGCTGTCCAATTGTATCCTGTTACGCAAAGTTAAATCAAATTATTTTGGCTAACTGAGCTTTGACTTGTAATAGGAGGAAACAGATCCCACTAATTAGCGCTTAAATAACAGGTTTAGAGTTGCCTATAGGGTATTTACATTCACGCATATGCTTCGTAGCATTTTTGTTTTGCTTAACCTGACATAACAAGATCTGTCCTTATTTGTATTAAGCTATAAAACACGTATAACAAATGACAAAATAATATACTTGGGTGTTCTAGAGCAACAATTAGCAGGTCGATTTAAGATATAATTTTCATTTTTTTTAAATATAATGTAGGCTAAATGATATTAAAGTACCAAAGGCGGATGCGCATTTACACGTGCATCTTGTAGCATTTTAATAACCACGTAATTTCGGTTCTTTTGTATGAACAGTGTGAACTTCCATTTTTTCCTCGGGTATTATAATTGATTACGGCTTAAAGTGCATCAGACCTAATCAGATCTACGACTATAAATAGAAATGACGAAGAGAATTGTTAATAACCCTACGTACAGATACAGGTGTCTGTTGTATGCTGTCTTGTGACCTTGTTAAGTTATCTGAAATGCCATTTTAGGGGCGTTACATATGGATGGCTTTGAGCGATCAACCTTCGCTTTCTGTAATTAAACTCCAAAATTCAGCACCAGGGACAAGTCCAGCAATATTTGTTCGTCCTACTCCCCTCTTTATAATAACTGAATTGAATTAGTCGGCGAAATCCGGCGCTGGACCATGCAGACTACGCCCAATATATTTTTGCTTCTCTGAGTTACCCAGGGCGACCCTCAATGTATAACACCGGAAATTATTCCAATTTGGTCAAAAAAGCCTTTGTAAGCGCTTCTAAATTAATACATGTTTAGTGCGAATTACAGCAAATAAGAAAGCTACTCTTCAAGGTACATAAGTTACATGTTAATATGTAGTTTAAATATAGTTTATCGTAGTTACATTATATCAAATTATGCAAAATAAACCAATCGCTATTATTTATTGTTAATATTAAATCTGTGCTTAATGCTTTTGTAATAATATTGTAACATCGGTTGTTATCAGTAATATGCGTGTTTCCTGTTTTAGTTAGGCTACATTTTGATGTTGGGTATTAAAATACTGCTTCTTGCCTGTAAAGTGTCGATTTCCATGTTGTGCCTGTCCTCCATCTCCCGAAGCTGGCGCTCCAGCGACTCATTGGTCCCCCTAAGGCTCTCCATCTCGATGGTCTTGGACTGGAGCTGCCTCCTGAACTCGCCGATCTCCTCCCTGCTCGCGCGCATCGCCTCGTTACTTTTGGCTGCCTGCTCGTTCAGGTTCTCAAACTTGGACCGGTACCACTCCTCCGAAGCCTGCAGGTTCTTGTTAGCCAGGGATTCATACTGGCCGCGGATCTCCTTCAGGGCTGAGGTGAGATCCGGCTTTGATACCTCCATCTCCACGGAGACCTGAGCGGCCTGGAGCATGCTCATCAGGTCAGCGACCTCTTCATCATGCACCTTCCTCATGAAGGCTATCTCATCCAGCAGAGATTCCAGTTTCTTCTCGAGATCCAGTCGCACCAAGGTGGCACTGTCAACGTCCTTCATGTAGGCTTTCACGGTCTGCTCGGCTTCTTCCCGAGCTCTCATCTCTTCTTCATATTTCGCTTTAAGTTTCTGAAGTTCATCTTCAATGTTGTCTCGTTCGATGAAGATCTGCGCCCTTTCCCCATTCACCTCCTCCAGCTGAGATCGGAGCTCCCGGATCTCCTGTTGATATATCTCTGCCAGGCGGGATGGTTCCGTCTGCCTCTGCCTCAGGGCCACCAGCTCCGTCTCCAGAACCTTATTTTGCTGCTCCAAATTATGGACCTTCTCGATGAACATTGCAAAGCGATCGTTGAGCCCCTGAAGCTGCTCCTTCTCATTAGTCCGAATGATCTTGAACTCATTGGTGATAACTGATGTCTGGTTCAGATCAAGGATGTCGCTTGATACGGGTGAGTAAGAAGGCCACCCCGATCGCTTGTGAAAACCTGCGGAGGAGCGAGACAGAGACTGTGATCTAAAACCGCTGGAAGATACGATACCCCGTGGTGAGATCCCGCTGTTCAGGCGAGACTGAGACGGGGAGAAGCGAGGGGAGTCCCCGAAAATCTTCCGGTAGGAAGAAGAGATGTAATAGTCTGGTACGGTACTCATTTTAGCTTCTAAGCAAACTAGGTGGGACAACCGGTGCGTGCGGTTTATATAGCCGGGCTGCCCCACCAAAAAAGCTATATGTGGGATTTTCGGACATTGAAAATGTATGGTTAGACCGTTCTCCTTCTCTGAAACATGTTGCATATATTGTTATATAGCTGTATCATTGCAGTTATTTCTGTTAGCTTTTCAAACGAGTGCGAACATTTAAAATAGTTTTTTTCCCCGACAGTCTGCAGTGGAACTGTCCATTTTGGCGCAGTGCTGATACTGGCAGCAAATCAGGTAATTTCATAGGCAAGTTTCTCCCAGTCCCTGTGAAATACAACGGAAAACTTCAGATAAAATACAGTTCACCACACATTTTTAAGAAACTGAAAGGTTCAGTAGTATACATTGTGGAAATTCGGTCTTTGCATTGGAGAGGTTTAGTTTACACAATTTAATAAACTTAGTTTAATATGGTGAACTGATGATGATTTTGATGATGAGGTTTTTCAATAGTTTTTATTCTGTATAGGCCTACCAGATAACTAAACATACGTAAATAAGCTACGCGATACATGATGGGCAGACAAATCCTATTTTAGCTTCACTACTTGTCTTCTATGCTTACGTCTTGTCTCATTCGTAAGAAATTTAATGGATGGAGTATAATTGATAATAGAATATGAAGTTATTATTTTCGCGCTCTGATCACACAGATTACATTTTTATAATTTGGGTGTGTCCGATGCTGCAGTTTTATTCTGTATAAATAACTATTACAGGTTGTTTGAAAGCATCTCATAATAACAACAACAAAAACAAACAAACAAAAAACACTAGGAAAGTTTGGGATAATTAAACATCCGTTTAGTTGAAAATGACAAAAGTTAGTGTGGTACCGTTACTTAAAAGTAATACATCCCCCTTTTCTGCATAAACGTAAAAAGTTACTGTGAAGTCAAAACTGATACTGCACTGCCCTCTGGTGTTGCTGAAGGGCATATTTACTGCGGTAAATTGTTGACCTACTTACAAACAGGGAAAATCCCAAATTTAGCCAATGTTACACTGGTTACGGGAAACTCACGACAACTTAAGTTTTAAAGGGTCGCACATTTTCTTACACACCTGCCAATGGTTCATAATTCCGATGTGTAACATAGTAGTTTCGTCCTATTATCTGTTGTTGCGATTTCTGATGCGGTCAGCTATGTGTCCGGCAGCAGATGACATCTGCAGCAGCTGAACCTGATACTAAAACAGACGGTGGGTGTTTCTAGGGTCCCCACAAGCGAGTGTGGGCTTTCCTGACGTGACTTCTGAAAATCTATAGGCCTACAGCGGTGTCTTGGCTCTCTTTACATCCAGCCTTACATGCACATGCTATTCCAGTTAGACAGATTCAAGACGAACAAGTGGAAGCGTCGCGAAGAAAAGTTCTGCCAGTATAAACATTACTTGTAGAGCCTATTTAAGATATATCACTTGTGCGTACATTTTCCGTTATGCAAAGCGTTAGACGTTCCACTTTGAAAAACAAAGTGACGATGCAGTAATAAAAAACGCCCACTGTTTGCACATTGCCTTACTTTCACAATGCATCCATTGTTGTCTCACTTGTTTACAGGAACTCTCACTGCGGAACTAATTAATTCTCAGTCATATAAAACGATGTTACCTGGGTGTGGGATCACCCTAGAATACTAGATGCATATTCCGATATTTTGTCAATTTACAATAAGTTTTTGCGCACCCCCTGTTATACTGCTCTATGGGGCCCCTGGGGGCCGCGGACATCAGGTTTAAAAGCCCTGATGAAGACCATTACCCTGGCATATTCCGTGTCCAAGCGCAGTGTGGCAGTAATGAACAAGGCATGAACAACACGTGCAGCTGTTCTGAGTGTCAACGGATTACAACGTATTTTTTTTCTGTACCCCGAAAGAGCTAAAAAACGCATGCAAGTTTACGTTAAACGGAGCTCTCCACATAGCGGTTATTAACAGTTTATTGTAGATGTGTTGATCTAAACTCAGTCCAGTTTTTCCTGTTTAAAAATCACATGTATTTTAGTGTATTGCTGTTGATTTTATAGTAACTTTAAAAAAAAAAAAAAAAAACACAAACCTTTTTTAGAACAATCCTATCTGGGATCTGAACCAGCATCCCTGTTCTTTTTATATCAACAACCCCTATGAAACTTGTTATATCGCCACAGGCAGTGATACAGTAGCCTGGACTTGTAATCACAGCTGAAATGATCATTGAACGGTAACTCTTGTTAAATCGTAAGAAATATCAGTTTCAGATGAAGATAAACTTTATTGGCCCTACGGGGGAACACTGAATCCGCCTACCTACTTTATATAGAAATAACTGTGCTTTCGATTCTTCTCGGCTGATTGAGAATGTATTTTCAATGCCAGATTTTCAGATCTTGACTTGCCTGCATTTTTCTTGCCGTAGATACTTCTAATGCCTTGGTCTGCGCACCGCATGTGATTTCATCATTCACCCAGAGCCCCGCTGGCGCGCATGCGCTGAAATGCGGCCAGCGACAGTGCGGTCATTCGCTGACAAGCAGAGAGGTAAGTGCCTTTGGGCTGCCCGACCCCTACTCGATTGGAGTTTTACAGCCGTAAAAAGGCTGCTAGGGAGACGCTGGACAGTTTAACGGAATGTGATTTGCGTGGCGCTTGTCGATTTGATCGCTTGCTTCTGATCTCTTCGAGGAAAACGGGAGTAAAATAAGTTGTAACCAGCCACAAAACTGACGTCTCTGCGTGTGACCAGGAAAAGTAACAAGCAGTGTTCGTTTTTCACTGAGTGATATTAGATGTCTTAAGGATAAAATGAAAATAATCAACCGTCCTGCACCGAAAATGAGTTCGTATTGATTGCAATGACCAGATCTTATGCACTTCAACCTCTACTGTCTTTTAACTTTGCAGGCATTGTCAGACCAACCAGATCTACCGATGATATATATTCATTTTTGCAGCCGATGAAGTGATTAGTTACTAGTCAGCGTGGTCTTTTGATCTGTGAAGTTTCACTGATGGCTATGCTATATAATATGAAGGTCTCGGCGCTGCGTTCGTACCCGAAGTCGTGGGTGGATAACATCGACCCTTTTGTGCTGCGGCGCCTTGTACACAAGTGATTTATAGCCAGGATCGCGAAAGCGGCCGTCTTGTGAAAGTGTGGGTTGAGTAACGGTTTGGCTGGTTGCCGCAGCTCACACTGAAAGTCGAGGCTCCATGCTCTCTACCGGAAGAAAGCACATGCACTGTCATGCAGCGGCGTGCAGCATCCAACCATCTATCTATCCATCCTCCAACCGCTTATCATGGTGCAATACCATGCCGGGAAACTGAGGTTCTGGCTAAAGCCCGTGATATCCCCATTGCTTGTATATTACTACGGTTAGACGGGTAACTACAGGCTGTCCTTATCAAGAAAGTGCAACGCCTGAAGTCCTGCATAATGCCAGCGGATTTGTGTGCTTATAGCGATACTTTAACGGTGGGTTTACTTTACAGGGAGTCAATTAGGTAAATGCATCGGGCGCTAGGCTTTTAAAATCGCATTCTGGCAATAATATGGAGTCAAATGAGAGACAGCTAGTAGTTTTAAAGTCTGCCGCGATACTGCCAATGAATGATGATCCAATGATATTTCTGAAAGTCACTTATGCAGCTCGGTGGCATTTTTTTTGTTACCTAATTTGTTAAATTATATGAAGTTCCCCTTCCTTATATAGGCCTATCAGGTTTATGTGTCGAAGTGTTATAGGAATTCTGTTATCTGCATTCATTTTTTGGAAGTTAAAACGAGAAGTATTTGTGTCTGAATCTTTATGTGATTTGGAGCCACCTGTCTTAAGTGTTTTAACCTCTTTTGGTCACTGCACCCTTTGACCAGTAACTTTTCTGTTGTTACCAGTTCCTGACCCTCAGTAATTACACGCTCCAGTGGTCTGAGGCCGCCCGAATGTGTATAAATATAGGCGATGATGTCACTCCTTCCAGGCTTTCCATGGTCCAGCCTCCCCTGTTGCTGTGGGCTACCCTTCTGGAAAGAGCTTCTCTCACTTGCTGTTTTCAAAGTTCGGTTTTGGTTGCTGTGAAATTCCTAAGTGTGAAATAGGACGCAAAACCGTCACCACTGTGTTTCTGTTGACCAGAGTAGGGCGGTTGTCTGGGTATTGCTCAAATGATCTATTTTCCACGTAGATACAAGGGAACAACTTTTAAACTCCTCTTCTAGGTTGGCCTTTGCTATTTTATGTACGTCTATTCCTCTTGTGGGGATAAAAGCGGGTCGTTACACCTCAAGGTTAGTCTACATGTGTTGAGTGCAGGGGATGGCTGTTAAATTTGGTTTTATGGAATTTTGGTTTGGTTATGGCTGAACCAAAAGGTGAGGTGAAGGTGGCATCAAAGGGCCTAATTGGCCAAACGTCATCTACAGCAACGATTATTTTGTTGAGATTAGTGCTGACTTTGCACTGTGCATCAGCTGGCGCCTTGAACCAGGATAAAGATGTGTACTTTTGCAGAAGCAGTCACTCAGTCAGGAGATGGCTGGTATGTTTCACTTTGGGCCACACAGAAAGCACTAGGTCACTTACGCAAACCAAGTCTTTGGTTCTAGAAGGGAATCACTTGTAACTGTACTGAAAGAAGCCCCATAATGGCACTGCTTGTCATTTATTGATTTAGAAGATGTTTTGGATCAGGGATTAAGGTTAGGAGCCTCACTCAAGGGCCCAACTGTGATATGCTTGTTATGATGACCATGGGATTTGAACTGATGACCTTCAGGACACAGATGCGGAGCCCTAACTCACCAAGCCATGTCTCAGTAGCAAGCTGCTTCAGTGAAGCATCTGAAAGGGCGACAGTACGCTGTTTATTCCCCTCGCAACAGTGCAAGCTGACCATATTGTGCATATTGATGAAGTCTGTCGTTATCTGCGTGTTGTGCAGCACTGCAGGGCAGTTGCGGCTGGTGCAGGAAGCATCCTCCAGTCCTCTGTCTTACAGAAAATGAACAGCTGTGTTTGAATAGTCACAAAGTGTCACTGGAGAGGCAGCCCGGCCACTGCAGGCGTCTGATGACATATTACCGGCATCTGTCATCGCAATCAGTAATCTACTCAACAGAAAGAATGCCATTACTTTTTGAAATAAAGCCGCAATATTGCTGGAGAAGGATTTCCAAAGGTCTCGCTTGCAATTTATTTTCTCTTTGGTTAATGTTTGTGGAACTTAATTAAGGTTTGTTGAGTGGATGTATGATAAGCTGCTGATGTTACAGTATTTTATCTTAGAGCTTATACTTAAGGGTTTTGTGAGTTCATTGACAGTATAAATGTTTTTGGCATAAATGGGGTTAATTGTACACCAAGGACAGGCAGAACATTCCCAGTGGACGTCCTCGGATTAATAGCCCGCTGTCAGCAGTGCACTGTAACAGCTGACATATGTTTATGGATTAATGGAATATTGATATATGGAACAATTAAGTTTTGAAGCTGAAATTATGTAAACTGGAAAGTAATACAAGGGACGGTGACAGGTTAATAAGGTTACACAGATATGAAAAGCCTGTGCTGGAATTGTTCAGTTATATCAGTTGTAACAGAAGGCGAATATAAAGGAGATTTAAGACTATGAGAGATAAACTGGTGTTCTTTGGGGGGCTGGGTATGGGGCCGAAGACAGCCATGGGGAAGAATGAAACGACATGAAAGCTGGGATTTAAAAAGTAAAGGATCATTGAGCAACGCATCAAGAAATAAAGAAACCTTTTAAAAATTGGTCTTATTCAGTCTGCATTTACATTCATTTTTATTTAGCATTTTTATTTTATTCATTTTTATTTAGCATTTTTATTTTATTCATTTTTATTTAGCATTTTTATTTTATTCATTTTTATTTAGCAGTCACTTTTGTCCAAAATGACAAATCAATAAGGCGTAAGTGTGCCTGAGGTGACTCTCTGTTCCCGTCTCCAAAAGCTGATACTTACTAATTACAGAAATCCCATGATTTTTTTTTTTACTAAGCATGTAATTATAATATTCTGAGAGTTCCTGTTTAACTGGTGGTTGTCCAATTTTCTCGTGGTCTATTAAACTGGTTTCAAACTGGAAGAGAAATTAAGGCTCACAGAGAGACTATAGTACTGAACCCTGGATGTAATGTAATTATATTCCAACATTTTTAAGACTCAGTCGATTCAAATTTTTAAAAGGAGGAAGCCTGCTGGTTATAGTGAGTTTTATTCAGGCAGGATTTTCGCAGGTAGACCCGGACTTGGCTTGGAATGGGCAGATTTCCCAGAGAAAGACAGAAATAACCGGTTATAACACGTCAACTGGAATATGTAATTGAACCTGACTAAAGACAAATGAATGTTATCTCCCTCTCTTAACTCTGCGTACCAACTGATCCAGAATGCAAGTAGATTAAAAAAAATCATTTTCATCGTTAAAAAATCATTTTCCCTCTTTCATTTTAATTGTGATATTGTTATTAATATTAGCATTTTAAATTCTTGCCATTCCTCATTTGTTAGCCTGCCTCAGGACTGCAGAAGAAATTGGACTCTGCTGATAAAACACTTTGCATCATTGTGCTTTGTCAACTAAATTAAATAAATGAATGTGAATGTATTTCACAGTGAATCTCCGGTGATTTTAAGATGGCGACATCCTGGAGCGATCGACTGCAGAACTGCGCCGACCTTCCCGCCAACATGGACGGCCTGGCGTTGAAGAAGTACCGGCGCGAGGCTTATCACAGGTACGAGCAACCATCACCATCTCCACCTTAAATCCACCTTAAGATGCTTCGGCAAGCCTGGAACATTACACCAATGTTTCTCTTCTGGGGCCCTGTATCATGAAGCTGGATTTCATGTTTAGCTGGATAACTTGTCAGATTTAAGATAGTCTGGGCTAAATGTTACTGAACAAAGATAAAGTCTTTTTAAACTTAGGTACCTTAAATCTGACAAGTTATGTGGCTAAACAAGATACCCTGCTTCATGATACTGCCCCCTGCTGTTTGCGAAAAATAAATTTTACGAATAAATAAAACCTGAGGCATAACATTTGAATAATACTAAATTAAATATTTAAGTTAAAAACTAATGATTAATCTACACCCTTCTTGCACAGTCATTTGCTGTCGAGGGCCAAATACGAGCTTCACCGGTATTTTCATATCCCATGAAAACTGAAATAGTTTTTTTTTTTGGGAGGGGGGCAGCTCAAACTTTAAAACTCTACCCGTTTTTTAATGGTCACGCAGGCAGATCCAGACCACTGGTTTTAGTCTAAATTAAACAGGAAACTGCTGTGTTACCTAGATGTCTGTCTCTGTGGTGTATTAATGGTATGAGCCGTTTGTGTTGAGCAGTACTCTGAGCACATACGCGCACACGCACGCAGCAGAGTCTAGCGCGTTTCGAAACAAGCGCTTCATGTGAAAGCGAGCTGCGGGATGCAGAGCTGCTGCTGTCCGCAGGTGTCCGGAAGGTTCCGCTGCCCACAGGGAGCTTGGTTATGTAATCAGAAGGGCTGTTTTTTAAAACCTCTCCGGGGTTTTCTAGAACACAAAAAGAAAGTAAAAAAAAACAGCGTGTGTGCACAAATAGACAAACCAGAACACAATCCCCCCCTCCCTTCCCCCAGCACTGCAAAGTTACCCATGTCATTTCACATTCTTTGTGAGACATAATGGGGCGAATATGGTTTGTATGCAAAACACAAAAGCATTGTGGCTTGTGTAAACAGTATTAAGTTTATCTCAGTGAGCAAGGGCCTGTATCACAAAGCAGGATTTCTTGCTTAGCGGGATAACTTGTTAGATTTTAGGAAGTCTGGGCGAAATGTAAATGAATGAAGATCCATTTAAACATGGGTACCTTAAATTTGACAAGTTATCTGGCTTAGTGAGAAATCCTGCTTTGTCATATAGACCCAAAATCAGTCTCGATGCTGCGACATGAAATTGTAGATGTTCTATCTGTTTTTAAAAACTTTCTTTTTTGCATCAGATGTGATAGCTAAGATGCTGTATGAGAAATTATGTTGTAAAAATATTTTTTGGGGGTTTAAAGGCTATATTTTACCTACTGTCTGATTTGGGTTTTCTCGGTCGTTGTAAACTAAAAATTATGATGAAGTTTTTGACTGTGCAGAAGTGTGATGAATGGTTCTGTTGTCTTCGCCGCTTCAGTAATGGTGTTTGAGACTTTGTGAATAACTCCCACATGTCAGCTCACGCCAGTGCTTCCTTGTTATTAGAATAAATGAATATTCTGGGTGTTTTGTGTGTGTGTGTGTGTGTGTGTGTGTGTTTCAAACATCTCCCTTATCTCTAACAACAACAGATAAGAGCATGGAAATGACCGAATTGTATGCGTAGCCTGTCGGGGATGACAGGACGAGAGCCCAGGGGGGGTGTTTGGCTGGGCGGTATGGAGGGGGGGGATAGAGAGTCACGGGGCAGAGGGCAGGGGCTGCAGTGTTACCATGGCAGCAGTTGCTGGCAGAGCAGGAAAAAGAATCAGGGGCCCAGAGCCACACAACCATGAGCTATGCTGTTCAGAGCCCCCCCCCCCATTTTTCCTGGGGGGGTGGCTGACAAATTATGGGTGGGGGTCGGCTGGTCCTGGAAATCTCTGTAAGTTGCATTTAATTCTCGTATTGCTCTTCCTCTATTCTCTCTCATGGAGTCTCCTTGTGCTGTAGATTATACCACCTTGTGAGTATAGCAGGATTGATCGAATTACATAAGTGTATTTGGGGTGGTTTCCGTACTGTCGCAACGGGAAGCTACACTGTCATGGTGACGAGTGGGTCTAGTCCCTGTCACAGCGCTGACTCCACATCTTGGCTGAGCAGTTCAGTGAAGCAGCTTATGTTTAGATCTGCGGACTGTTTTGTAATATTGTGATGTGGTGATGATGATGATGATCATGATTGATGATACTTTGTTTCACAATTTGTACGACTGCAGGTACTTAGGACGTTTTTGCGTCTCCCATCCTGCTGCCCCATGAGACTCAGACACATAGAGGAGAGGGAAAAGCATGAGGTCATTCGCCCAGCACCCCTGGAGCATTTTTCAGGGTTTGTTCAAGGACACATAGTGTTAATATGCAGAGCCACAGTCTGCCCAAGGCGTTGGGTTGGAAGGTTTAAATATGAGCTGTTGACAGGAGGTGGAAAAGAAAGGACCAGAAAAAATCGTGTTTGACCATATAGACCAGCTTCCATACAGGACACTTATAAAGAACCAGATTATGGAGGAACAGAACCAAGATGTTCTTTGTGTCTGTGATCATGGGTTTTGACTGGAAACATGAAATGAAAACATGGAAGGAAAACGTCTTATGTTGGGGAGATTAACAGGGCGTTCATAGATGACGTCATGGCTGGAATTGGGATATGGAGGGTTTGGAATATTGTAGTCTTGTTAAGGACAAGGAAATGGTGAATGTAATTGGTCAGTGTGGCTTCGGTCTTTGTACCCGTCTGTGATGTAAGCAGATGGCCTGCATGGTTTGACATTTGAGTGGGAATTTAATCCGTGCTTTTACGTGCGGAGCCATACACTGTTGGTAGAACAAAAACTGCCCTTAGGTGACCTGAACATCTTGCAGAAATATTTTGAGTTCAGTAATTACCACCCGCTGTAAACTCAACCTTCTGGGTGATACTTTTAGACAGGATAAAGTTTGTCGGCTAGTCCTGTTGGACAGGCTGACATCATATTCTATTCTATCCTGTTTTTTTCTTGACTTGTTGAAGCGTGCCAAGCAGTGTTTTTAAGATCAGGACAATTTATTGCATTCATCCATCCTAATTGTAGTCTCCAAGCCCCTTGTTTGTTAGTGTGAAAGGGTCAATTTTAGTTTTTTATGTGTGTCTGCATGTTCTTCAAATTATCTAGCAGAACATTGGTTCTAACAGCCCTGCTCAATTTCATATGGTAATACAGACCCCCCCCCCAAAGTAAAGTGTTACCAATATTTCTTTTAGTTTTATTATTAATGCATTGATAATAAAACACGCAAACTTATGAGACCTATGATTGCATCTCATCAGTTCCTGTTTTTATTGTCTCTTGTATCTTTAATGTCTTTGGTCTTTTAGTTTAACATAGTTGGGGTGAGTTGGGGTGGTGGCATGGGTGGGTGGGGGGGATATTGTTTTTATAATGTAAAGCACTTTGTGTTACATAGTGTGTGACTCTTTGTCTCATTTCCCCAGAGTGTTTGTGAACAGAAGCTTAGCGATGGAGAAGATTAAATGCTTTGGCTTCGATATGGATTATACCCTAGCAGGTAAGTCATCGTATGGGGGTCCAGCTACATGCCTTTTTCTTTCCGCACATTTGCAAATGAACCATTAAGCCCCTTTATTTGGGTCCTTATTGGGCTGATTTGACCCGGTCAGGCGATGCAGAGTGGGAAGCAGTATTAAGAGTAAGGTGGAGGGGTCCTTTTAAGGCCTGGGGGGGTCCCTGTAAGGCAGAGGGGTCCCTGTAAAGCCGAGGGGTCCCTTTAAGGCCGGGGGGGGCTGTAACAGTATTCTGCGGAAGTGTGGGAGATTCCTTAGATCGTGTGTCATCTATCTGAGACCCTGGGGGGGGGGGCATTTCTCTGTCCAGCAGGGACACCCCCTTCCTGATTTCCATGCTGCTCTTTACTGGTCAGTGCTGCTTTGGTGCTGGTGTAGCTGGTGGGCCAGCATAGTTGCAGTGGTCTTCATCCACACCAAGCTGGTCCATCAGTAGTATTTCAGTAATGATGTTGCTCCACCAGCAGCAGAAAACAACATGTGCTGGTCACCCTGGTAACCGGCTTACTGATGCTGCCCTATTCTGGTTCTGTTCCAGTAGCTCCCTCAGTCCACTGTCTGTTGACTTGCACCTGTTCCCCACAATTTTGGCTCAGTGGGCTAAGCTTCTGTGTCTGTGACCAGAAGGTCGCCGGTTCGAGCCCGGCCTTGGCACGCCTGTGGGTCCTTGAGCAAGGCCCTCAACCCCGAGCTCCCTGGGAGCTGCTGTGGGTGGCTGCCTTCGCGGCCAGCTTACTCCCACCTACAGAGAGCAAGTTGGGGGAGGCGTAAAGAGAACTTAATAAAAAGTATCACTTATTGTTATATGGTCCCAAAAGTAAGTCCAGAATGGCTTATTATACATCCTGGATCTGACCCAGAAACTACTCTGCTCTCTCCACTCTGTCCCAGTGTACAAATCCCCAGAATATGAGTCTCTTGGCTTTGACCTGACCGTGGAGCGACTCGTGTCCATTGGCTACCCTCAGGAGCTCCTCAATTTTGTCTACGACCCTTCTTTTCCCACCAGGTAAGGGCCAGTGATGCACTAATCAAAACCTGGTCATCCTCACTGCGTATCTGTTCATGTTACCAACTCGGTCATGGCGACTTCCCGATTCCGCTTACCGTAACACCAGTCGAAATTCATTAGTGGCCCGAAATTTTGAAATTATCAAAATATTTCCTCACAGGGGTCTTGTGTTTGACACAATGTATGGAAACCTGCTGAAGGTGGATGCATATGGCAACATCTTGGTGTGTGCCCACGGCTTTAACTTCATGCGAGGGTAGGTTCGTATTTGCGTTGCTCGGTGCTACCCATAATGCACCTCTGAATTGTAATATGTGCCATGTACATGTTTTTCTTGTGTTACCATTAATTTGCATATGGATATAATGTTAAATTGTGTTCTCTGAGCAGATATCCATTTACTACCCAGATGAAATATTTTCATTGACCGCTTAAGGCTTTTGCTCATTACTGCATGTGTGTCTATGTTCAAGACCAGAGATCCGGGAGATGTACCCGAACAAGTTCATCCAGCGAGGAGACACAGATCGGTTTTACATCCTGAACACTCTCTTCAACCTCCCTGGTGAGGAACCAGCCTGCCGGTCCTGCCCAGTTAAGGTCACCACATTCTAGAACGTCTCCTTAGAGATCTCACGTCCCTTCATATTAGGTTCTAGAGCAGATCGGCCCCCGTTTTTCTGAAAGAGAGTCGTATCTTATTGGTAATGATTACGACTCTCGCTGAAGTTTCAATATTGTCTGAACTTTATACTGTAAGACCTTATGGATGATATATGAGATTTGTGTGCCTGGAATGTGGGTCTTTCCAGGAGTCCAAACTTTCCACGTTTGGGCTGTGCTGTATCACAATACACCACCAATGGTAGCATTCTCATTTAATCAAAAGGTCAGTATTCATCTGTTTTAACTCATATAGAAGATGACTGAATTTTAGGTTCCTTTATTGTTCTCTGACCCTCTATTGTCCTTCTCTACCCAGAAACCTATCTCTTTGCATGTCTGGTGGACTTTTTCACTAACTGTGACAGGTACAGCAGGTAAGGCCGCCAGAACGATGAACATCACTCCTTTTTTTGTACATTTCTGAGTGGGGTGATGACCAAGGGTCTTCCATACATTTGTGAGTTGAGTGAAGATGTAGAAAGTCCCTCCATCAGATGTTTTGGCCATTCTGAACTAATTTTTAACACATTCGAATGACGGATAGCAGCTGTTCTAAGATAATTTTTAATGCATCTGCATTTTTTTTTGTTTTGTTTTTCATCGCCATCACCCTCTCCTGACTTTTCCAGTTGTGAAAAAGGCTTCAAGGACGGCGACCTCTTCATGTCCTTCAAGAGTATGTTCCAGGATGTGCGTGATGCTGTGGACTGGGTCCATTTCAAGGTGCCACGTTTTTCCATGACACTCAAAGTGATGTTTCAACAGAAGCAGTTTTGATTTGAGATTCAGTCCTGAAATGTCGCACAGATTAACTAACATTATAAATCAAGTATAATTTTACTATAAAAGCTCCAGGTATCACATCTATGGCATATTTATATTTGCATTTATATTTCCAGGGATCTCTGAAGGAGAAAACGGTAGAAAACTTAGAGAAGTACGTGGTGAAAGATGTAAGTAGTATTTGCTTGGCATTGCTGAGTGAGAACGGTGCAGTGAGAAGCCAACTGAGCCCCTGTCTCTGCGTCTGCCCCCCCGCCCCCCAACAGGCGAAACTCCCCCTCCTCCTCAGCCGGATGAATGAGGTGGCCAAGGTTTTCCTCGTCACCAACAGTGACTACAAGTATACTGACGTAAGTGTGTGTGTGTGTGTGTGTGTGTGTGTGTCCTCCCTCTTCTCAGGAGTCTGATTATTGTTAATGTACTTATTGATATATAAAATATGATATATTTTGCTAGCAAACTGAGCAATAACCTTCAGTATCGAGTGTAGCAATGTTTGCATGTGCTTATCAGTAAGAGCTATTGTCGTGAATATACTGTATATATAGCCCTTGTGCTGACACCGGACCATATGGTCGCAGGATGCCGGAAATCCGGATCCCCGTTTAGGGTAGCGGAGTGTAGAGGAAGCTTACTGAAACCCATTAGAATACACCTGGACTGCTAACTCAAGGCATTTTTTGTTACTTTTTTTCCTTTACAGAAAATTATGATGTACCTCTTTGATTTCCCCCATGGTCCAAAGGTCAGTTTCTTGATTGATTTATGCTGCTCAAATGGCAAATCAGTATATTAAAAATGAACCATATTTCAGTAAATATGGGTATTGTAAATGCACCATGCTTGGACTGTACAGTGTGGTCAAATCCCAAATGACATGTACTCTTGTATTAAACAATTAGTGAACTACAGAGAAAATGGGTTTATCTTGTACATTTTATGTGATTGTAGCTCAGTTGGTGAGAAGGTTGTGGGTTCAACTCCCATGGTTGACTGTGTAATCATTTTGTGTATGCAAGGTCCTTAACCCCTACTGTAATGTAAATGAGCTACGCTGTATTGAGCACCTGGTATCTTCCTAATAATACTGTCAGCTATAGCACTGGCAGGTCAGTATACAGGTATTTTACTGGTGTATGAGTAACAGCAGACAGGTGATGTGTTCTGCCCCCTGCAGGCAGGTACCTCTCACCGCCCTTGGCAGTCGTATTTCGATCTCATCCTGGTTGACGCACGGAAGCCCATGTTTTTCGGAGAGGGCACGGTGCTCAGACAAGTAGACACGGTGAGTGTCACACTTTTACGCTGCTGTTACCCTCAGGATCAGTGTCTTGGCCTCCTGCCTACATTCCAGTTCAGTAACACAAAGTAAGCACATGTTAATATCCAGTGAAATCCATAAATAAACTTTATGATCCCTATGACAAATCTTATTAAATGCAGCACACCAATTATTCAACGACATGCATAAGCTACCTTTTAATCTTTCTTTATACTCCACAGCCACATCTTAATGTAGTAACAGGCAGTAATAATACTCCTTCAGAAGTATCAGAAGGATAATGCTGTGTTACTGTTCCTTATTCTAGAGTAATTCATAATTCAGGAAAACTTTGTCTGGTATAAATTAACTGAAATTCCTCTTAGACACAGCTCATACATAACACATCAGACAACACAAGTAGTAATAAAAAACAACCAATAAAAGAACCAATAAATAAATTATAAGCAACCAATAAAAACACAAAGCCAATAAGAATACAGTAATTTATAGTAACATGCAGCAACGAGATGCCCCTAGAGGCAAATGCAGGTACTGCACTTTCACACACTGACTGAAGAAATATGAAGCAATGGACTGCAACCTACCATAGTAACACATTGATGTTTATTTCCTTTCGTGGGTGTGTGGTTGGGGGGGTTAGATGACTGGCCGGTTGAAGATTGGGACGTACACAGGACCTCTGCAGCATGGCATTGTATACTCTGGAGGTAAGGTCTGCTATCTGGCTTATATGTGTGTGTGAATAGCACCGGTATAACCTATGCATGTGAGCATTTTCAGCTTAATTGCCTCTGTCATTCCTACACGTGCAGCTCATTTGGTCAGGCCTTTTTCCCTGTGATCGGGAGGGTGTTGGTTCAAATCCTGCCCTCAGCGGTATACTCGCATGTCCGCCAGGTCCGTAAGCAAGGCCCTTAACCCTTGCAAAATGCTACACGGGCATCAGATAAATGGCTGACCTTGGGCTTGGATCCCAAGCTTTGCTTTCAGCTGAGTATATGCCATGCCAGAGTATCGAATCCCCTTTAAAATTACATTGTTCCTGTCGGTATTTTTATTTTTTTTTGCAAACTTATAGTCTCTCACAGTAATCAGTTATCTGTCAGCAAAAACTTATGAAGAAATCCAAACGCTGCATAAGTATTCAATGTCTGTGCTCTAGAAGCTCCAGATGAAAGAGTAAAAAGATTCAGATGGAAAACTGAAGAATGAAGAGCATTCTAAGGAAGTTAGAGATAAAATAATCTAATTGCATGCATTTAGAAATATTTCCAAGAGGGTGGACACCCCAGTAAGTACTGCTGGATCAATACTGAGAAAGTGGAAGCTACGTCAGACTGCCATCCCTCAAAACTCAGCAATGGTACAAAGAGGAGACTGGTGAAGGAAGCCAAAATGGGGCCAACAGTCACTCAGAAGGAGCTGTAGAGTTCAGTGGCTGAGAGTGGAGAGAAGGTGCACCAATCAGCCAATGCAAGAGCATACTGCTTACTGCAGCAGTGCATACTGATCACATACTGCAGCATTGCCTACTGCATACTTATTACTGCAACAGTGCATACTGATCACATACTGCAGCATTGCATACTGCAGCAGTGCATACTGCCAGAATGTGCCGGCTAGCATGAAGACCTCTAACAGTAGAGCCACATGAAAGCATATCTAGAATTTGAAAGACAGTATGACAATGATCCAGCTAACATGTCAGGCAAGGTTTTGTGGTCTGTTGAACACTGGGAAGAATATGTGAATGTATCATTGGTAATTCAGGCAAATCATCATTTTGGGGTGGGGGGGGGGGTTGAGTACTTTTGCAATGTACTATATGTATGTGTATGTCTCAAAGGAGAGCATGATGACAGATTTGAAAAGAAGCACTCCATTGTGCCTGTACTCCTACGTGTTCATATAGCAAATAAAACATCATTTCATTTTCAAAATGCATCATTACATTTCATGCTGCCCTCCCCACAGGGTCTTCAGACATTGTGTGTGACCTGCTGGGCGCCAAGGGCAAGGACATCCTGTACATCGGAGACCACATCTTTGGGGACATCCTCAAGTCCAAGAAGCGGCAGGGCTGGCGGACCTTCCTGGTGATTCCTGAGCTGGCGCAGGAGCTGCACGTCTGGACCGACAAGAGCAGTGAGTGGCCGTGTGACCACGTCAGGCTGGCCCCTGTGTGTGATCACGTGACCTCTGACTTTCCCCTCTGTCTGACAGCTCTGTTCGAGGAGCTGCAGGGCCTGGACATATTCTTGGCGGAGCTATACAAGTGAGTACGGTGAAAATACCTCCCTCCTCCACCAGGGGGCAGCTAATGTCGACCCAGGGCTGACATTTAACCTGCTGATCCTGTTCCCCATCTGTTTCCAGGAATTTGGACAGCAGCAGTAATGAGAGACCGGACATCAGCTCCTTACAGCGAAGGATGAAGGTGTGCCGCCCCACACAAACACCCGAGGATTTTTTTTCAGCTGACTCATCCTACTTCAATTAATGTTTATTAACTCACCTCACGTTTGCCGCCCTAATGTCACAGTTCACTCAAGCACCTTTTGTACCTCCAACAGCTTCTTTTAAAAAGTCTGTTTATTATTATTTAATAAATGATTATGCACCGTTGCCACACACCAGGGTTTGAGTTTCCATGTGCTACCCCCAGTCCACAAACTAGGCAGGCCAAATTACCTGTAGGTGTGAATGGTGTGTGTGCCCTGCGATGGGTTGGCACCCTGTCCGGGGTTAATTCCTTGCCTTGCGCCCGTAGCTTCCCGGATGGACTCTGAATAGAACAAGCGGGTATAGATGGATGGATGGATGGATAGAGTTCCTGAATGATTCTTCTATTTTTTCTAAAGTCATGCTTGTTGTTACTGTTGCTGTGAAACCGACTCAGTTCGGTTCCATCACGCTGCATGTTCTCCTCCTCGCAGAGAGTCACCCATGACATGGACATGTGCTACGGCATGATGGGAAGTCTGTTCCGCAGCGGCTCCCGGCAGACGCTCTTCGCCTCCCAGGTGATGCGCTACGCTGATCTGTACGCCGCCTCCTTCATCAACCTGCTCTACTACCCCTTCAGCTACCTCTTCAGAGCGGCACACGTCCTGGTGAGCACTCGGCCCTTCCTGTCGGTACCCCATCACACCCTCCTCCTAGTCCCAGTGAGCAGCCCCTCCCCCCTGCTCAGACCTGCTGCCCCCTGTGTCCAGATGCCCCACGAGTCAACAGTGGAGCACGCCCACGTGGACATCAACGACCTGGAGTCGCCCATGGCCACCCGCAATCGTCGCTCCCTGGACTTCTGGGACACGGAATGCCGTCGGCACCAGTTGACCAGGTCCATCAGCGAGATCCAGCCCCCGCACCTCTTCCCGGAGACCCCCCAGGAGATCACTCACTGCCACGACGAGGACGACGACGAGGAAGAAGAGGAGGAAGAGTAAGCAGCTGATTTGACCTGGCTTGGAGGTCCAGTATTGTACTGGGGGAATCCCACGGGATGGGTTACGGAGAGTCGGAGGGAGGCATTTCCTACATGACGGATGTGCCTTAGCTTCCGAATTTTTTTGCTGTGTGCCCTGGAACATAGTACTGCCACTCAGCTACTCAAGTATGCACCTGCATCTGTTTATTTGAATTATTTTTATATATATAACTTGTTTTGTTTGCAACGTTCATAAGGAAATAATTACATGAGAAGTCAGACCAAATTCTGGAGGTCAGGACAGGAAAAGATGCCAATATATTCTTTTTTGTGTGTGTTTTTATGTGGGTTTGATTTCCACATGTATGTATATGTGTATATAAAATACTTCTGCTGCATATCCTGTCACACAGTGACAGCAGCAAGGCTTAGAGACCCAGTTTGGCGTGGCAGTTACACACACAGCCCTCCGAAGGGCCTGGCTCGTGGGGCTGCACGGAGCTCGCAAACTGGAAACCACCGTCCATATCTCCCCGTCCGCCAGCTGAACTCCACCTGCCTGGCGTTCACTGCTCAGAAGAGGGCAGCACTTAATGGTTTTCATTTGATGAAGTGTTTACCATTAGAGTCAGAGGAAAACACCACAGCTCTTGAAATACAGCTCCTGCAACGCAATAGTGAAATATGAAACGTTTTGGAACGCAGGTGATGCTGTACTCTGGGGGGTGGAGTCAGGTGCCGACAGCTCATTGGCCCATAGCATGCCCCGCCCCCACCTCCTACCCAAAACATGATTGCGGCCAACTGTCATACTGCCCAGTATCATGGTTCCCTTTGCTCAAAACTGTGCTGCTTACAAAACTGGGAGGAGCCACCGGATTGCATGTGTAATAATTACATACTGCTGTATGCAGCTGGGGAGCCCCCAACCCTAATACCCCCTAAGCTGTTTCTGGGTATTTCTTTTCTGCAGCAGGGACACAAACAGAGAACATAAACGTTTTAATTTTTACTTTTCATTCACTTTTTACTTTCCATGCGTGTTCCTGAGCTTGGGAGTACACTGTGAATTTCAGTTTTCCTTAAAGACAATGGCAAGCGTACATCTTGCTTTTTGTTCTGGTGTAAAATTAAAAAAAAAAAAGAAATCTAATACATTTTTTGTGTTTTTTAACATCCATTTCGTACACTGGTAGCTATAGTATATTTTCTGTATTATGGTGTATGAATATTAGTATTTTGTTTTGGTCTGTTTTTGTCTCCTTTTTTAAAGTAATGTATAGTTGCTTATAGCACGTATGAAAAAACGAGGAACATAGCTTGTGTTAAATATCTCTTTATTGGACCAACAACTTTGACCAGCATACATATGTGGTGTGTATATATATATAGACACATATATACATACATACCAATACCAGTGTATTACTTTCTGGTTGATACTGTGTAGGCTACATTACTGCTGTATCTCTATATATATACATTCAGGATTCAAAATAGCAGCTGAAAACGCAGGACTTAATCTACAGGCTGTTGGAGCACCGTAAAAAAAAAAAACAAACGGGAGAAATAAACCAGACAGGTCTTGTGTTTTGAGTTCACGGCGTCTTCACTCGTTAACACTGATTCGAGCGAAGGGCCACCGTTTCACACTCCCTTTTGTGAACGGTTGAAGGAGGAGGACCGGGTCAGTCCATCCGGCTGCAATTTGGAATTCCGGGTGCATAGACATTCTCGTGTGCTCAATCTCCCAGAATGCACTGCCAGCAGCGAGACTGTAGGAAGGGTGGGTACCTGATGCAATCACATGTGATTGTCCTTGCAGCTCAGTTAAAATATTTAATAAACTATACATTTTTTTTTCTTTTAAGATGCATGCAGCACACCTTAGAGACGCCATGAAGATACAGATCCCAGGGATGAGATGCAGTTACACCATTTGACTGGTACCTAAGGAAACTGACCAGATGGACACCACCATGGAATGCAGGAGGGCATGAATTCTTTGGGGGGGGGGGTGGTAGTAATTGATAATTGCATAAAGTGAATTAGTTCTGTGTGTGAAAGAGTGAGAGACTGAGAGCAGTGGATTGGATCTCCTGGCTTAACGAAATGCCCGTTTATGCTATCAGCTAAAGCGATTGTTCCGTGTGTCACTCGGTTTACCGTCCTCTCTGTCACACCACAAGGGTACCAGCAGATTTATCGTTGATTATTATTATTATTATTATTATTATTATCACATTCATTCCTCCAAAAATCCCTGTTTCCCGCTGATTTGCCAGCACGAACAGCTGAGTTTATCATAACCCCAATATGAATTATTTTTTTTTGAGGTCCTTCTACAGCTGGTGTGCAGAACAGGAATCCCCATGACCTCGCACCTCTGCACCGCCCAGGACACGGCCAGTTCCAGCCTGATTATCGTAGCTGCGTGTCGCTAGCAGTCGATAACAGCTCTGTGTGCCCAGTGCAGATCAATCCAGCCGCAGGCCGCTATAGGGTTAGGGGGCTTTGGGTCATGTACCAAACGCTGCATGCAGAAGTGCCAAGGCTCCCCGGACCGGAACCGGACCAGGTTTAGGGCCGTGTAGCGACCGGAGGGGGGACCGTGCTCGCACTATAAGTGCCATCTCCAGATTATGGTCATAAAGCGGGGATCACAATCGATCTCTCGCGGCTGACGTAGCAGAAGTGGCAAGAAACCGTGAGTTTGATTGCCTGTGGACAGAAACTACATTGCATAAAAAAAGGACATTTATAACATGTAACAATCATTCAAATCATACTCTACGTAAATTGTGGTCCATTGCACTTGGTAAGACAATAATATGATTAAACAGGGAAAATAATTCAAACCTCACTTTAAAAAGATGTAAAGAGATATTGTACCATAAGCCTGATTTATCATGTACAGTAGGGATAAGATCTGTAATAATACATCTGTAAAACACCCTCACGTGCACATACACGAATGTATGCGGAAGTATGTGTGAATGTACATACATACACACATACATAAAATAAATAAATACACAAAAACATTCTTGGTTCCTGGTTGCCATAGAAGCGATATTTGGAACAGTCTTGACTCACAGTTTTCGCTCGTGCTGTTTTGCTTGTTCAGTCCAGTTTTCTCCTCCCTGAAAAGATAAGAGGGACCGGACTCTTTGGTTTGGGGCCTTGCGTCTGGTCCATCCGGGATTCGGAGAAGGTATGAAGCCTGGCCCCAGGCACTGCAAGTTCCCACCACGGTAGGGCACAGGACACGGGGAAAAGTGAATGATACGTGTGCAGTACTCCCTCCCCGGCGCTAGATGGCGCCCTCATTGTGCATAGTGTGGTTGGGTTTGGCGTGCGCCAAACAGTTCTGCTGCTGGTTCAACAGGATCGCCGTCTCCTCTGGCAAACCGTCCTGAAGTTCTGTGAGAGTCAGTTCGATTTTGGTGTATTCGCCGTCCGAGGACTGAGGCGTCTTGTCCATACGGGATGCCATGAGGGCGTTCTGGTACTGCTGGCGGGTGACCTGTGAGACACAGATACATGTCACCGGCTAGAATGACAACATGGGGAGGCAAACTCCGGCCTAGAGTCTCCGACAATGCACAAAGACACATTTGTAGGATCAAGGGCGCCCTAAACACACATGGTACTTCCACATTGTTGGAAGGGAAATGGCCCAACTGCCCACGAAGAGCAGCCACCCATAGCAAGCCCACTGAGCCACACACTGTCCATTAGAGATCAAGGCAGCAGACAGTCATGAAAAATCCCAGCCCGTCCCGCAGCAAACATCCCCCGGGAGGGAGGAAGCCGCACCTTGATGTATAGCAGGTCGCTGACGGCCCGGACGGAGTAGTCCGGCACGTAGATCTGCAGGAAGGCGTTCAGCTGGTTGTTGCTGCTACCCAACGTGGGTGTCCCGGCGTCCAGACGCTCGCCGCGGTTCAGCGAGTCCGAATGGTTCAGCCCGAAAGGCCTCGGTGGGGACTTACTCTCTGCGTGGCACACAGGACAGAGCGCGGTTGGAGGGGAAGGGAGGTACTGTACACCAGGTAGCGCACACACAGAGGCAGGGGTGCTGCTAGAGATTTTGGGCCCCGTGAAAGTATATCGTATGGGGCCCCAACCCAGAAAAATCCAATTATGTTCCAAATTTTTCAGGGCCCTTGAAATCGACTTAACTTTCCCCCTTTTACAGTGTCCCCGGTACGATGAATACTAATGGCAGGTAAATATCATGGGTCAGCGAAAGTGTACATCAGGGGTAGACCAACCCTGTTCTGGGAAAGCCAATCTCCAGCGCGTTTTCTATCCATCCCACCTGATATGTCACTATCTGCCCGAGATCAGGTGTGGTTCACCAAAGACCGGGCAGGATAGGAACCCTGCAGCACACTGCCACACCAGGATCAGGGTTGTAGACCATGGATGTGTAAAACACATTGAAGTGCAAAGGTGTAGACCGGAGGGGGGGCAATCTTATCCAGAAAGGGACCTTGTGTGTGCAGGTTTTCGCTGCAACTCCCTAATTAGATTACTAATTAGAGGACTGATTGGCTGAATAATCCTCATGCCTGGGTTTGAACAGCTGACCAAAAGGGTATCCCAAAAACCTGCAAACACACCGGCCCTTTCTGCATAAGATTGCCCACCCCCGCTGTAGACCAAACACATGGAATACGCAGTGCAGTGTAACAGTGTAAGCTATGGGTAGGGAGGTATACAGAATAGTTTAAGTCACATTACACTTTATTGTTTTTAGTAGACACATTTATCCAGGGTCAGCCAGTCACTGGAGCAATGGGGTGGTAAGTGCCTGACTCCGGGGCCAAGCAGTGAAATCACTGTGTTGACTCTGGGATTTGAACCCACAACCTTCCAATAATAGGAACAGCTTTCTAACCCAGTGAACCACACACCACTGCCAAGTAGCCAGAGGTAGAAAAGTGCCTAGAATGCAGCTGGATAGACAGATGAAGGTCACAGTGTATTCACTGGGCAGGTACTGTACAGTGTTCTGTAAGAGATGTACCGTGTGCGACACGGTATGACATGCAAACTACACATGTACAATTAAAACAGGCAAAGTAACAGTTCAGAAAAAATACCACAACAAAACCATCATTTATACTAAGAATAAATAACAGCAGATACAGAGGGAGTCTCATCAGTTTAGGTAAGTCAGCAGCATTTTCTGCGATAACCTTCATGAAAAATTTGCACTGTACAGTTGTGGCAAAAGATTGTTCTATTGTCTCATTCCTGGACACAGGGTGGCGCTCACAGTTCATGTAAGTACTAGCGGCCCTTGAATTACATTCGGTACATCAAAGCCGGCTAAAAAATGCACTGGCATGACCACCCCCCTTTCCCGTTACCCTGAATAAGCCAGTGGTCCCCTGACACTGGAAGACAGGCTGTCACTCAACCGGACTTTCAGAAAGGCGGGATGGTGGTGAAAAAAATCGTGACAAATGCGCAAGACCTTCTCTTTTTAATTAAACACAGATTATGTTTTCCACTACTTAAAGCGGCACCTGCCAAGGCGGGCACAGAGGCAGCAATTTGGCTGGAATGTCTCTAATCCGGGTCGGGGTGTGTGCTTGAGGCCATCCGGTCCACGCAATGCAGCGGGCAGCCAATGGGGACGCTCCACTCGAGCAACCCCCCAGGGGCCAATGAGGGCTGCCGGAATCAGGGCCACCAGAGTCTCGTTCGAGAGGCGCTGGCCGAGTGCGGCCGTAGCCCACAGCGAGACATGCGGCTGCAAAAATGAGGCGAGGAGGCGGGCCGCGAGTCCGTCATTGGACGGCCGATGCTGTCAATCAAACAGAACGAGCAGCCTGACACACCCTGAGGGACAGGTGGTTGGATGGCATCCTGGGAAGGTAATTAAGGGCTCATTTCCATTCTGAAAGGCCTCGAGAGGCAATTGTTGCCAGGTCTCCGGCTGCGCTGAGGGGATTTTCGGTCAGGGATGAGATGAGATGGAAATGATGCCTTTTTTTTTTTTTTTAGTAAGGGAGAGCAGAGAGGGAGCAGAAACGGACATGCCGGCGACAAGCAGATACAGTACCTGGAGATCCAGCCAGAGACTCCGCCCTACTCACCACGAAGGTGCGAGAGAGTGAGAGAGGAACTGGAGGGGAAGGGAGGGTCATGGGGGGAGGGGATGTAGGGAAGAGACTGTCACCAGAGAGAGAATGAAAAAGGACAATGCTACCATGCTCCCAAACTGCTTCCCCACCCAATACACAGGAAGGCCACCGTCAGTGTTTGTCACTCGCTGGAAGCGTACATAAACGGAGGAACGAAAGCGAGCAGCGGACACTCGCGAGGACCAACCATCTCGCCATCAGTCCAACGGGGGACGACATCAGAGCGTGTGGAACTGCAGCCGGTCAGACACCACAAACGCCCCGATTTTAGTCTAAAGAGTCCATTCCAAGTGTTGAACCAAAGCACCTCATCGAGTAAAACGTAACAGCACCAGGAATACTGAAATACTGACTGACGTTTCTCCTCATTGTGTAAACGTTTTGCATAAAAGTGTACTTACAGAGATACTTAGTGAAAGAGTCCTTCAACAGGAACTTGCTAACGGGCAATTACAGTAGCGTCCTAATCACAACATTGGGCGACCACCTAATCCACGTCAGGCGGGACACTACGAGCTACTTCAGGTTTTACAAAGTACTTTAAAACTGAAAGGCTCTCGTGATTGGCTAAAAAGATCAGTTCTTCTTGGGCTTCGACTAGTTTGTTTCATTGATTGAAAGACTCATCCAACTGTTTCACATTGACATTAGTGACACATGCATGATTATAAAAGACTGACCAACCAGCACACAGTAAGTGAAGGTCTTCTTAATTGAAAGAGTAGTTTACAAACCCTGTCCTAGCTCATAGTGACCCCCCTGACATGGATTAGGGGGTCACTCCATCACACACCACATGTAGTACCTGCCCCACTGCAATAAACCCAGGTTATGTTCGCAGTGCGTGGAGCGTATGGGACAGACCTACCTGGACAGGTGGTCAGTGCCAGCATCCCGTAGTAGGAGAACGCCCCAGCTTCGAACTTCATGCCTTCTTTTCCCGCTTCTACCTCCACCTTCCCCTGGCCAAACGAGGGGAGACATGCAATTTAGTCAAGAATGCCATACTTAGGAGTGCTGATATTCCAAACAAGATGGGACACCAGGGAGTGGTGAGCATTGCACACCAACAGGAAGATAAGGTTTGCTTAAAGTTGGCTTGGGGTGAGATGGTGAGCAGTGTGGCACGGAGTTGGGAGCATGGAATGGGTTTTTTTTGGGAGATTGAAGGAGAGCTATGAACATAAAGGACAGCCATACTGGATTTAGTGCTGGAGTCATTAAGTCACCATGGCGAGAGACAAACAGAGAACGTTTTTATAATATGAGAAGGTTTTATAATATTAGAGCATCTAGCTTTCCTACTTACAATAACATTACAAATCAAAACGTGGCTTTATCAAATCCCTCGATAAGGTAGTGTAATTTGGACTAGGTTCAGCAGCTATGCTCTGTGTTCTACACGGTCGGTGTTGAAAGTTTGGCCCATAAAGCGCATGTAGCAGGACGTCGAGGACCGAGTTCCGGACCACGTGGTCGAACCTGACCTGCATGATGAGGATGAAGTAATCCACGGGCTTGTTGCGGTGGAAGAGGTAATGTTCGGCCATCTTCTTGTTCTTCTCGTCGTACTTTAACTCCTGGACGACGCTGGGGTGCTTGAGAAGTCGCAGCAAGATCTTCTCGGACATGTGGGTGGGCCCGAAGGGATCCACTTCTGCTCGTTGAGACCGTAACTGCTTTAGCTGGTTAGCATTTCTGTTTTTAGGCGGCTCCAATAAAGAGCGCGACTGCTTGCAATTCCTCACCTCTTTATGGTGGTAATTTTTTGATCTATTTATATTCTCAGGCAGTTCTCAGGAGTACAACAGCATTTACTTTTCTAGTACACACAACCCTCAGTCCTCGGCCCATAAACTACAATTCAATGGGTACATAAACATCCATGAAACCTATTTACCTTTTCATAAGAGAAAGGGCTTATGGGAAATGTAGGAAAAAGGCTTCTAACGCATAAGCAATAACTGTGCAGTTCTGAAAACACATCAACTTTCATTGGACAGTATAAAAAGCACGCAGTGGACATGCATGCTCTGCAGAGGACATTAGTCAAGCTCTTTTGTCTGAATAAAAATTCCAACAGAATCATCTGGTAGTGATGTTTTTTCCAGATTTCAAAGTGTTTTTGGATAACAAAACTCAACATATCAGCTCCCTATCATAATTTTGTTGTCACGCTGTCCTGATCTGCCCTGACCACTACGATAATAAAAGGAAACTGCCACATGCTCCTTTACGTCAGTGACAAGACTTCCTGTGTAACGCATGTGGCAGAACGTCCCACTTGCCTGTTGCTAGGAAACGCAGCGTAGCCAGTAGAAGTTGAGGTGATATTTTAACCTTCATCTCATTGTCTGTGGGCTTGAAAGCTGAGAAATCCTGCTTCCTCTCTCGATGAGTGATCTTCTTCTTAGTTTTGTTGTCAGCTACAGAAAACAGGGAACAAGGGCTTGAGGAGAACTGAGGAGGGAAGGAAGACAGATCCCCAAAGGGACTCTGAGTAATCCAGGTGTTAGGGGGAACTTCATTAGCTATGTTTAGGATTTAGTATAAATACACTCATAAAAATGCAAGTTTCGCTTCAGGTAAATGTGCTAATAATCTGAGTAATCGTCAGTGGCTGACTTATGACCTTTATCTTATAATATACACCGCTGTGTAAAAGTTTGGTAAGTTTGATAAAAAAATCACTCTATCGATTTATAACTTGCTAAGCTTTTGAGGCTGCAGCTTCATTTAAACATTGTACTTGTGCCTCAGCATGAATTCCTTGGTAGATTTTGAATAGTGCTTTGGATCCTTGTCCTGCTGAAACATCCAACCCCAGCATAACTTCAACTTTGTGACTGACTCTTGAACATTCTTGTGGAGAATCTTCTTGCACATCACCCTTCCCCCGAGCCGTTCCCGGTGCTAAGTGCGCTGGACTGTGGAGCGATGTACAATGACACCATCAGCACCCAGATGTGGTTGTAGCTCTCTGTAGGTGGTCTGTGGTTTGTCTGTGACCTCTCTAACCAGCCTTTGCCAGTGCCTTTCAGATATTTTTCTTGGCCTACCACATCTTTCCTTCACAAGGACTGTTCCTCTGGCCTTCCATTTCCTAACTACATTTCTGACTGTGGAGACAGACAGTCCAAACCTTTGTGATAATATCTTGTACCCTTCCCCTAATTCATAACGACACTAGTTTTTAGGTCAGTAGAGAGTTCTTTAGAGGTTCCCATGTTGCCACTCTCTAAGAGAGAACCAAGGAGAAGCACAACTAGATTACCTAAAATAAATAACCTTTTTCATGACTGGTCGCATCTGCCTGTGTAGTTTAAGGTCTAATGAGCTAATCAAAGCAATTTTGTCCTGCAATCTGTCAGCACTGAATGACTACAAGTCTTCAAATTAATGCAATTAAAAGGGTCCCCAAACTTTTGCAAATGCTTCTAATTTTTTTTACATTTCATTTCATACAACTCAGTAACGCTAAACTGAGAATTTTGGTCTGATAAACATTCCCTTGTCTTCATTTCTTTAGAACAAAAATGGCATATTGCTGTGATCGTCTCTTATGAAGATAATTTGCTCTATCATGCAACCTCGTGTTATCGTAGCATTTTTGCATCCGTGCACTATGACGGCTTGTAGATTACTGGATTAAATTCTGCATCCAGCTGTGTACCTCTGGAGGTTTCATGTTCTCTGCGTCCTTTGGTTTCCTCCCATAGGTCACAATCAAGCAGTGTAGGTGGATTGTCTGTAAATCTAGCCCAGTGTACGGTTGTGTGCGTTTGTCCTTAGATGGACTGACACCCTGCGGACAGGTTGTCCCCTGCCCCCTTCCCAGTGCTTGGTTCCAGGCCTGCCATGAGTCCGCACTGGATAAGCGCATATAAGAAATGGATGCACTGGACAAAAGATTGCAGAGCATATTCCCCTCCATCGAAAAAGACAATGAACATTGTAGGTGTTGCGAAATTGTCCAACCCAAGCTTCTGGAAAAGATTCCCTGCTCCCTGAGGGAAGGTACCTACTATACAGGTCTGTCTCATCGAGGATCTCCGACTTGATGATTTCCTCAATAACGTCTTCCAGAGTGACGATGCCCAGGACCTCGTAGAATGGATCGCCCTCTCCCTCATTGTTCACCCGCTGAACAATGGCCAGGTGGGACTTTCCTGAGCAGAGAGAGGGAGTTTCAGAGGTAGTGCAGCACGGTGCCCATGCAACACAGGGCAATCACAGCCACAAGTGTGATGGAACGTTGTTTTGGTACATCATGCAAGCTTTTGTTTGTGTTGGTTCTTAAGCTATTGACGTGTTCTGCTCTTTAGCTATTGGCAGGCATTGACATAACTGGTACACAAGTACACATTCACATTTAAAAGTGATACGTGCACCAATCGATTGTTGTAACAGCGAGAATGCGTACGTATTTTATGTGCATTTGTGCCAATATGACAAGAAATCATTGTGCATTTTAACCTTTATACCGCAGATGAAGTATAAATTAGCATATAAAGGTTAACTTGTGTACCAGTTATGTCAATCCCTGGCTACTGGTATTCACTGCCAATTATTCTTCTTCACTTATTCTTCTACAATTACTGAATCATTCGATATCCACTCCTGTTTACAATTCAAACTGAAGGTGGAAAATCAGGTTGCCACAGACATCATTATTACAGCCAATTTGTCGTTCTGCGATGAGTGAAGTGAGACCAACTGATACACCCTCAAGCAACTCAAACGTACCAGGGCCAAGAAATCTGCTGCGACTTGAAAATCGTGTTTGTGTTTTTAAATAGAGTGCAGACCAGGAAATGGCCGTTTCATGGCAACTCACTGCTGTCCACCTCAGGGACAGGGTCATAAAATTGGATGTGCTGATAACAGCAGTCAAGAAATCACACAAACAAGCTGCTCTATGGCCGCACAGACGGTTATCTGTTCGGTTTTCTTTATAAATTTCTCAGAATTCCACATCTGGGTTCCCAGGACCCTCTGCGAGTAAAAAAAAAACTTCCAAGCAAAGACTCAACCAAATGCTAAACAAATTCTTTTCCCATTCTCAGCTAGCAATCATTTAAAAGGAATTTTCCAGAGTGGAGGCTAATATTAGACCCAAAATGAAGTTTCCATTCCTCTTTGGCCATGTTCTCACTGACGGAACGGCTGTGGGGTCTGATTGGATCTGATAGGCTCCTGCCGACTCATTTGCATACAAAGAGGCGGAGATTAAGCAGTCAGCACCTGGGACCTGTGTGGACCATGTCCAAGTAACTACATGCAAGAAAGAGTCGGCTCTGTCTATACCTGAACTTTACCCCTCTCCCCCCCCCCAGCCAAACCTCCTGACCCCTACAACTCCCCAAACTCACGATGGACATGCTAGAGTTCATTGAGCAACAAATGCTACCATTCGTCTACTAGCCAGCTGGACTTGCCTTCAAATTCTCACCACCCCAAACGCTTCTTGGTCAAACTTCATCATTCACATTAAGCCTCAACTCTTAAATCGAACTGGAAACAGCTTTTGATAAAAGCATCTGTTAAATAATAAATGTATATTTACACATATACTTGTATTTATAGAACCAGTTAATAAATGTTTAGGAGTTTGAAGTAGACCATATCTCCCATGTGTGTTAGGTCACACTCTTGAAAAATGTCACATCTCCATCGGTTGATAACGTACTGCAGCTTAGATGGAAGTGATACCTAAGAGTGGGACTCCACTGCTAAAAATAAAATGGCACCTGTAAATGTAGGAAAAGTAGAAGACACAAGGCTACAACACCCAAGGTGGATTGTGGTGTGGGTCACCGATATCTTTAACTGATTTCCAATAGGTAAATTTATCGGTTGAACAGCCAATGAATGACACTGCACAATAATCCCACCTACTTTGTGTTTAAAGCCTCATTTCTTCGAACAGATCAAACCAAGCAAGCATGTGATTTGGAATCATGTTGATACAGCAGGCCAGGGGGATTGTGTAGTTGGTAACAGAAAATATATAGGCTACCTACAATGCATTTAGGCATTTTCTGAAAATTTGTCAGCAGGGTAAAACAAAAGATAGGAGTTTTCTTCAATTAGGCTAAACAGTTCTCCCATCTAGCTATAGCTAAAGATGTATCCCAGCCAATGGAACAGAAAATCAGTGACGCATAGACAGCCAGACTCATAACACCCACTAGCTTGGTTCAGTCTGGCGTGAATGCATGCTGACCATCATCTCCACTGACACCGAAGACCAGCACCGAAAAACTCAGTAAGTGTCCAAGGTGATTTCACTAGAACTTCTTACGCGCCTTACAGAGTGTCAGGATGGCTGATTACTTCTTCTAACAGTCACTGAAGAGGACTGTCAGAGAAACAAGCTCCTCCATGTAGGACGGGACGGCTTGCCCAAGCCTTTGACTTCCCAGGCTATTTTTTGTGAGGCCTCTGGACATAACAGTTTAATATAAATATGGCTCATATGTCATTAACTGGCCCGGGAAACAACAAGCCGACATGGCAGAGAGGGTGTGGAGGGAGAAGTCATATCAAGCAACAGGAATCAACCAATGAGAATGGTGACAATGCGGTAGAATTCGCTATCAGCCGTAGGATTTTGGAGATCAGCCTTGGGCCTGATCCACTGGAAGGGGATGCCCAAAAGACAGACCGTGTTTATCACATTCAGTTACACTCCCAGGTAAGAAGGATGTGATCCTGCAGGGAAACAATACCGTTGTTTAGTACTTTTAGCTTGTCATGCAAAAAAATTAAAGTTTAATAGGATTAACTAATAAAGCAAAAGTGAAGTAGAGATGCTGCATAGCTAACGGCTAAAGAGCAGTTTAAAAGAACTAAATTTATAGAGGAAGGCTCAGTGGCTTGCATTGTTGGATCATACCTCCAAGGTTCGGGTTTCGAATCCTATGCATGTTCTCACGGAGTCATATGGGTTTACTCTTACAGACCAAAGACATCCAGTTAGACCGACTGCCACTGAATGATGCCGACAGCATGTGAGTGTGTACTTAGAGCCCGCCGATGGACTGGCACCCCATTCATCATATACCCCTGCCCTGGACTACCTGGGTTAGTCTCCAAGGCCAGGAAGTTGGATGGATAGATTCATTTACGCAATAATGGTCAAAGCGATAATAAAAAATATGCTTACACGATTAACCTGTAAATTGACATTTAGGGATATGGATACATTTCCGAAACTTTATTTATCAGAGATGCGAAAATGATAATCAGAGTAGCACAGTTTTGTAAAAATGGTGCCAAAAAGAATAAACACCGTGGTTGTAAATACGGGAGAACATTTTAAAGATTATTTCTAAAGAAATGTTCTGGTTTAAATGTCATGCAAGATAGTTTCGTTTTCCCACAAATGACAGTGGACAATGGAAAATGTTTTTCATACCAAAAGAGTACAGCGCACACATGGTCTATTTATGTCACTTAGGCTTCTATAATTCTTCTATGATTTAACCCAGTTTTCAAAAAACATCCTTTCCTTTACGGAGCACCAGGGATCATTTTTATCTTTTCACAAGCTTCAGCGTTTGCTTCCGCTTTCATTTGGGGCAGAAGTTAAAGGCATAAAAGCACAATTAAATCTCCCATCACCAGCATACATGCATCAATAGCTACAAAATCCCTGTAAAATCATGATTTCAAGCTCCAGGAAAAATTTTACCTATCAGCAATCTGAGAGAATTGCCCCTTTTTTTATCTTACATAGACCTGGGGCTACATAAACTGAGATACAACAATAGACAGATGCACAACCTCAGTTTATATATATACTGACATGCAAAGTACTGTGAGCAGTTTTAAGGATCAAAGCCTGCCTGGATTAATTTGTTTTAAATTCCTTTGTGTATCTTAAAGCTAGATTTTTTTTTTTTTTTACACTGTACTACAGAAAAAGCGCCACTGCTGAAATTTCACCCAGGTGAGTGTTTAAGTCAGTGTCACTCAGCCCAGTCCTCAGGGACCCCCAGACAGTCCATGTCTTTGGTCCCTTCCAGCTCCCAGCACACCTGTACCAAACAATCCGCCGCAATCGAGAACAACAAATACCTGCTACAGGCGCACTGGGAGCCGGGAGGAACCAAAGACGTGGCTGTCTGGGGGTCCCTGAGGACTGGGCAGAGAAACACTGGCTTAAAAGTATCACGTTGTCATATTTCAGACATCCCCACCCCCCAGCAGTAAGGCTCCGCTCCCTCGGAAGAGCCAAGTGTGTCGAGCTGCCGTGAGCGGGCAGCGGGAGAGAGACCCCCCCCCCCACACACACACACCCCCGCCTCCTCTGTATGGCACAATGACCTAGATATACAGAACAGGCTGCGGCTCACTCGGGCGGGCGGGCGGGCAGGCGGCCGCTTTCATTCTCCACGACAATCACCCCAGGCTCCAGGGGCCGAGAAGGGGGCTTACAGGGGAACTCTGCCACGAGCGCTCAGCTGCACACCCCCCCGGCAGCGTCCCCGTGCCTGAAGGGCGTACCCAGAATTAGCTACAAAGAAGCAACAGAAAGTAACATACCCACCCTCCCCACGATATCCCAGTTCCCCCGGGGATGGTAGAGATCCCTCACGGGGCATGGCACCTAACCAGGGGACTACGCCAGTGTCCTCGCCGTAGGGTGACCCCAACCAGACACCTTGCCTTGCTGGGGCAAACCAAGTCACGTCTGACGCTCTCTGCCTATCAATTCCAGGCCCGGTGAATAATTGCTTATTTTAGCCGTGCCGTGCATAACCTATGTCCCTGAAACCTATTTCAGCTGACATTGTTACATTTAGACGCTGTGCCAGATATTTCATATTATATATATACATACACACACACACACACACACACACACACACTAGTCTTTTTCCTGACGTACTCGTACGTTACACATGCAACAGTGAAGGAATGATACCATGGTACTGTGTTGAAAAGGTAGAGTGCTGAAGGTAGAGTTCAGTCAAACCTCCCAACTGACAGGACTACTCTTGTTGAACAAGCTACCCGGGTCCCAAAGAAACCATCACTGATGAGATTTAACCAATCATCTAATAGACCAGTTTGCAAGTACGTCCCATTGCCTAGACAACAAGACGACCGATATCGAAGCTCAGCCCCCCCCCCCCCCCCCCCCCCCCCCCCCCCACCCAAT